GTGTTAAAGAGTGTGGAGCTGACATACGGCCGTTAATCCACGATGAGCGGATGAAATGAAAACCCAGATTAGCCAGAGAGTTTTTATTTCCATCAGAATAAAACAGTAAAAGCACAAGTTAAAACGTGAGTCACAGCGTTCAGGTGTATAAAGAACCAGGAGGTAATTAAACCAACAATCTCAGCATCTCTATGCAATCACAATCTATTAGAGATTACTAATCTACCACTATAAATCAATAATCCATTACTAACAGAGATTAATCATCTATCACTATAAATCAATAATCCATTACTAACAGAGATTAATAATCTATCACTATAAATCAATAATCCATTACTAACAGAGATTAATAATCTATCACTATAAATCGATAATCCATTACTAACAGAGATTAATAATCTACTAACAGAGATTAATAATCTACTAACAGAGATTAATAATCTACTAACAGAGATTAATAATCTACTACTAAAAGATATTAATCCATTTTTTAAATGTTAAACTATTAGTGGAGAGCATGGAGAGGAAGTCCATCCATTGAACCTGCTCTATCAACGGTTCCATGTTAACTTCCTGGTTTCAGCCGTAGCGTCCCAGGTAAACCCGTGCAGTGGGGTAGAGTGTTCAGGGTGTGAATACTTTAATCTCTGGGCTGGGTTTAAGGCAGAGAGCTCTTATTCTGGGGAAGCAGGAAGCGGTCCAACATCTTCTGGATGTTCTGGAAAGCATCTCTGCCCAGGTAGTCCGCCTGTCCAGCCTCCCACATCCTGCGATGCTCCGCCGGTCTGACTTCCCTCTGGTCCAATAGAAAGCCACAGAAAGGACAATGTCATCACCACAGAAGAAGAAGAAGAAGGAAGTCCTGCCTGCTGACCCTAACATGGAACTGTCCTGTTCTGATCCTTAGATCTAAAAGCTGAAGAACTATGTCCATTGTTTCTGCAGATAATGATGTCATGATGATGTCATATAGTAACAGAGATTTCCTCCATAAAAGCCTGATGAGGATCCAAACCGCCTGCAGCTGTGTCCCTCCATAACAACAGATCATCATATCTGAGACGGAGAACCTGTCCCTGATTCTGTCCCTCTGGTCTGACCTGCACCTTTGGTTCTGGTTCTGTCCCTCTGTTTCTGATTCTGTCCCTCTGGTTCTGATTCTGTCCCTCTGGTTCTGATTCTGTCCCTCTGGTTCTAATTCTGTCCCTCTGGTTCTGGTTCTGTCCCTCTGGTCTGACCTCTCCTCTGGTTCTGATTCTGTCCATCTGGTTCTGATTCTGTCCCTCTGGTTCTAATTCTGTCCCTCTGGTTCTGGTTCTGTCCCTCTGGTCTGACCTGCACCTTTGGTTCTGATTCTGTCCCTCTGGTTCTGGTTCTGTCCCTCTGGTCTGACCTCTCCTCTGGTTCTGATTCTGTCCCTCTGGTTCTGGTTCTGTCCCTCTGGTCTGACCTCTCCTCTGGTTCTGATTCTGTCCATCTGGTTCTGATTCTGTCCCTCTGGTTCTGATTCTGTCCCTCTGGTCTGACCTCTCCTCTGGTTCTGATTCTGTCCATCTGGTTCTGATTC